AACGCTTCAGTCTCAGCCTCGCATTCGCTGTGATAGCATCGTGCATGTTTACAGTAGCTGAATACATATATTTAGACAGTAAAAATACATTTAGAAAATGACAAACAGTAACAGTAATTATTATTATATAATAAAATACATTTTAAAATAAAGATTTATTAATTATTTTAATATCATTAATAAAACCATTAATACATTTAATTATAATAATATTGTTGTGCCGAACGGGAAGGGAACAGAGGCGCAGACATCAGGGAATCGGGGAATATGGGGTTTAATTACAGGTAAGGCAAAACACAGACGGACAATACACTGACCGGACTGGGGAAACAAACTGAAACGCGGACTAAATACAGAGGACTAATGACAACAACCAGAAACAGCTGATCACACAGGGATTCCACACGGGGTTAACGAGGGGGCGTGGCACACGGAAGGAGCGGACGATCGGGGCAGGACACATTGTTTTTTTTAACTTTACATATTGTTTGGATACATTTATTTTCTTACTTTACAGATTACTGTTTTGATAAACGGGCTTAGATGTGTTTAGTACAGTATATGCTCTTCGTTTTATCCGGTTCATTTTGTGTTTAAATGCTAAAAAAACATATTTAGGTGTAATGTTTTGGGGCCGGGAACCAATTAATTGGTTTTCCGTTATTTCTTATGGGGAAAATTCGATCAGAACCCGAACTTTTTAGGATTCGGACCAGAGTTCTGAATGGATTAAATTCGAGTTCTGAGGTACCACTGTATTAGCGGTGTAATGGTACACTAAATTCATGTTTCGGTACAAACCTCGGTTATGGGTTCACAGTTCAGTGCAATTTCGATATAGCAGGAAAAACAGAATTTGGTTCAAATTTGGAACTTGGTTGATCATGTTAAAATAAATTACAAAGCTCCTTTTTTTAAAAGGATATAACTTAAAATAAATATAAAACTGAAAATTTTTCTTCAGATAAACAGGCATGTATGCCTAGCAACATTTGAGTAACTTAAAATACTGCTTTTCATTATCGGTTGAACACATTCTCTACAAGCTTTAATTTTGCATTCAAGTAATTTTTACTAGCAGGTTTAGAACATAAGAACATAAGAACTATACAAACGAGAGGAGGCCATTCGGCCCATCGAGCTCGCTTGGGGAGAACTTAACTAATAATAGCTCAGAGTTGTTAAAATCTTATCTAGCTCTGATTTAAAGGAACCCAAGGATTCAGCTTGCACTACGTTATCAGGAAG